AGCAGCCCCCTGTCCGACCCTTCCTCTCCCTTAAGCTGCATTTCCTCCTCCCTAAATGCGATCTTTCCTCTCCCAAAAACTCATTCGGCCATCTCACCATGGTAGGTAAGGCATTTTTCTCCCCTCATTGCCTATAAAAAAAAAAAAAAACTATTTGAGGGGTTCTCGGTTGACCGAAAATTCAATAGGAGGGTGGAGGTGCTGCCAAAATTTTGGCTTGCGTGAATTTCCTATTGAGTTGTTTGGCACTATTGCTTGGATCCTCCGCATTCCTTCTGGGCTGCTCGGTATTCTTGCTTGTCGGCTCGATATTCTTGCTTGGTTATCTGTTTGACTACCGAGGTATTATCCTCTTGCTTCATCGCTCAATATTCTTGTTTGATTAAAGGGTTTCGTTACAAATTTGCTACGATTTATACATTGGTGCTGTGATTTGTACAAGTTTAAGCCTACTTTGAAAGGAGAGCTTAATAAGCCTTTTACCTTCTTAATGTCCCCATATTTTGAGGATAATCAAGCTCCTTAGCACACTTTCTTTTTCTCTTGTAACCTCATGTTTCCTTGAGGCTGGTTCCTCCTCCTCCTAGTCATATAAAACTAGAGGTCTATGTGTTAAACCATATAATTAAAAGATGCGTGTGGTTAGAAATGCTATGATATTGATCATTCTATTTCCTGACTTGGGGAGGTTTGCAGAAACAAATTCTCATTTCTTCTACTGATGTGTTGTCCTTGTGTGCATTAGTTGCAAGTTGTAGTTTAGTGACTACAGTTTGATATGGGCATGCTTTCTTATTGGAGAGTTTGATGCAAAAGATAAAGCAATAGTAAGACAAACCTGTGAGATTTATCTTAGGGAAATTTACATGCATGCCGCCTAGTTCTTTTATATTTACATATTTAACACCCAAACTTAATCTTTGCATGCATACCACTAAATTTCTAGGCGTTTACATTTGAAACATTTGATTCTTATGAATTTGCATTTCTAATACATGAAATTCAGTTTTCTTCCTCTAAATCTTTATGAATTTGGGTGGTATACATGTAAATCTCTCTCTTTTTTTAGCTGCATACGAAACTCGCTTTCAATGGGAGTTCTACTTATCATTGCTAAATTCGGAATCTATAGCTGAATTTTATAATTTGAAGATATTAGCACATTCTTGGAAAGCTTTGTATATCAAGCATATAATGTGTACATATGTATACACTTAAAGTTTGAACTTGAAGATGTGAGAGTGAAGTTACATGTGATACTTGTGTGAAAATCCTGAAACTTTGACGAGCTTACTTTTCTCTTTTTTCTTTTTTTTTTGGAAATATGAGTTTTGCCTGTTTTTTTTGCGAGAATTATGGAATGTTGACGAGGTGGATTTATGCAAAATATGAAATTGTGCAAGTTGTTTTATGCGAGTTGGCAGTTCATGTTGCTTCCTTTGGGCGATCACTTACTTATTTTGGATGGGTTTCAAATCCACTCTTTTGGGCTGCGGTTTTGAGATCCTTTGAAATGGTTTTGCTACATATATCGCAGCAATTCCGAAAGTTTTTCGCAGCTTATTTTGGGTTGTGGTTTTGAGGTCTTTTTGGAGTGGTTTTGCCACACGTATCATAGCGGTTTTGGAGGCTTTTATACAACGATTTGGGTATTTTAAGTGTTGATTTTTGGAGGCATTTACACACATTTTGGGGGTTGATTTGATCTTTGTTTTGAAAGAATTTAAACGCATTTAGGCCGATCCACTTGTGATTTTGCCCCTTGCTTAGCTGATTTGTTTTAGAAGTGGGTCGGCCTCCCATTTCCGTTGATTTGTTTTTATTACTACGGTTAAGTTAAAAATGAGAATTTCTGATTTACTTATTTTTAGGATTGATTCACGCCTCAAAAAAAAAAAATTCTGTTGAGATGATTGAAACCCAAAGGGAAATAGGATAGCAAATCATTCACCTCTTTTTTATAAGAAGAATAAAATTGTAATTATGCGAATTGTTGAAAATAGGGAGAAAATAAGAACTTAAATGATTCAAAAGTAAGAGACATGAATTGAAAGATCAGTAGACTATCAATTAGGACTCCTAAGCATTGGTTAGACTTAAGCCCAATTGTTTTAATTAGGATTGAAACACATTTCATGAACCTTTTTGATAAAATTATAGGTTTATCCCTAGGTCTTAAGAACATGATAGTGAACTAAATTTAATCTAAAGATGTTCAAGGATTAGTTGGAAAACACTTAATTGAAGACATAACACTTTAAAACACTTCAAGCTCAAGTTAAAGTGTAGGTTTCTTAGATTTTAGGAATACACCTTAAGTGAGAGTTCATCTACCTCTTTTTCAAATGGATACTGAAGCTAGACACCTAACGTCAAGTCATAAGTTAGTTAAAACAATAGACAAGATATGCACCAGGTTGTGGTTCATGACTGATTTAATTAAATGAAATGATAAAATTTTCTTTATAACTTGACCTAAATGAAACTCAATGCTCCGGGATTTAAGCTTGAATCTTACACTCAAATCCTCATGACAATTGGACATTCCCAATATCACATATAAATCACCCACCCTTGGTCATTTATATGTGACGTGTTTTGTTTTATTTGTTTGTCGTTTTCCTACGATTTGTTTTGAGTCTTTGTGGGTCGATTTCAGTTTTCCTCAGAGCTTTCCATGTGCTACTTCATTTATTCTGTTATACATAAACACATTTGTTATGCTAGCTGAATTTTTTTACTATACTGTTACGTGCGACGCTGATCCCATTTATAGGTGCAGCAATAACAAGAAACTCAGGTATCCAAAGTTTACAGTACATTTATAGCACTTTACTGTATTTCCTTATACTGTTTTTATTTACCGCACCTTATACTGTTTTTCATTTACTGAATTTCCTTATAACATAGTTAGTTCATCCATTCTTTAAATTAACTATAAAATATTTTCGATATAGTCTGGTTTAGGAGGTATATAATGGTAAGTCACCAAATAATAATATTGCACGCTCACATATAAGTCATTAAAACTGAAACTACTACTACATGGAGCATGAAACAACTCTTCGTGGACAACACGACTGTGACGTAGCGAACGAAGGATGACAATTTGTAGCAGCAAAACAAGTTCACATCAGCTAAACCTTTTTTGTAGAATAAATAACATAACCAATAGAACTTCGAGGTAGTTTGTTTAGCGCAACATAAATCCTCACTTTGTCTTTAGGATTTTGTACAACTCTGTTGTGCAATTATAAGTCCTAACACTTTTTAAAATTCCGAAGTTGTCGTACGGTACGATGTAAATCCTCCTATCTTTCTAGGTTATTTTTACGATAGGATATCGTGCAAATGTAAGTCTTAAATTCTAAAATAAATTATGGGATTAAATTTTAAATAACATCATTTCAAAGACATAAAACCAAACAATATGATAGTTGGGAGGTCACTGGGGTTTTCCTTGGATTTGTGATATCCCCTACTCTTCATTCTTTTGGATTCCTTAAAATAACTGTTCCTATTTGAGCCACTTTCATTTGACTTTCCCATGTCCAATCTTGGAAACCTAAACTTTAAAATCTTGAAAGCAGAACCACTGATCTTAATCGAGAGTCTTCTTAAGTAACCCCAATCATTTAAGATGTAATTAATTTTAGGGGTTTGCCTCTATATGGGACTTGGAACCCAGGTAAAATAAACTCTATCTAATCTTTATATTAGATAGGAGAATTTGTCAGCCTCATATAAAAAGTTTCGCAGACCAAACAGATGTCACAAAATTTTTTGGTTTGAGTGGTTAAGTCTACTACAAGTAATATGTTTATCTTTCGGGATAGTGTAATACATGTGGTTTTACGCTAAACCGTCCAAACTATTTAATATGTGAGACTCGTTTGATCTCATTTCAAAATTAAAATATTACTTTCAAAAATAAAAAATCACATATTTATATTAAAACTATTTTCATATTTACATAAATCATTCTTTCCAAAATAACGGCAAACAGTGTGGTTGGACGGAGCTGCTGTTAGAGGGGAAATAAGTAACTGGGGAAAAGCAAAGTGCAGGCGACATTAAAGACAATATTATAGGAAACCTAAAGTCGTAGGTTTTAGAAGGGAAACGTAGGTTACGTAAACATGGAGGCGAGAAGGCTTCGATTTGGAGGGCAGCAGGTGCCACAGATTGGAAGACTGCAAGGGCTGTGGTAGGATCAGCGACAGGGAAACAAGAAGCTTTTCCGGAAAGGAGGGGAGTTGCGACAGTGGGAGTAGGGAGTGGTTGGATGATGCGATTGGGTGGCAAGGAGTTGAGGTGGATGTGGAAGTCGAGGAAGAAAATCACTACCGTGGAGAGGGATACAGCCGGAGCACCATCCTAACTATTGGAAACAGCTCTTGAGGGGAAACTAGAATGTCGTAGGCTGTCCACCCAAATCTAAAATCAGAAATAACATAACTTGTTTTCTTAAGACCTAAAAACACATATAAATAGAAGTGGGATGGGCGGAAAATGATGAGTTTGCATGCACCTTGAATTTTAATATTAGTATTGCTCATCATCTTAATGACGCAACTCTAATATTGAATCAAGGCAAGGATGACCTCCCTTTTGGAGGCAAGAAGCTATATAAAGAAGGATAAAGATAATTTTACATTAATATGTATTATATATATTCATTATATATGAGAAATTATGCATGGAATTTCATTACTGACTTGAGATCTTTTATTTTATAATGAATTAAATGAAGAATTCCTGACTTTCTTTCCTCGAGTAATCTGACAAACAACTTAAGAATTCATTTTGGGTACCTTTGTCTTCTTTATATTTCTTATTGATTTTCACAGATTTATTATGTATCCTTTATCATACACCCTCATACACAAATCCTAAAGAGATAAAGAGCCCATATCTTTCGAGTTAATAGATAATATTCTAAGACAATTTAGTTCACTGGAAACAAAATATAATCAAATAAAAGCATGTAGAAGGGGCACCTTGACGTCCAAGAAAGCTGGCTTGTTTTATGTCTGTGCCAACATTGCAGTGGCCAACATATCTTTGTTTCATATCAATAGCGGCTTCAGCCTGCACAATTTAAAATAAGGATACCATGATAATGGTAGTTGGGAAATAGGTTAATAGTAATAACCACAATGATGATTATAATGATATATAAAAAAAAATTGGGGAACTTCATACAAGAAAAAAAACCAAAAAATTGAAAAATAAATACACAGAAGTAAAATGCCATCTAGCATTCTTTCAAGCCAGCCATTCATCTCAAAGGCACCTCAAAGATATTCATTAGGACTAGATTATCATATAATTGCGTGGCAGCATATCGCCAGAAATTTTCTAATAAATGGAGACAAAGCATTTTGATACAACTACTTAAAAACAAAGCATATATTCAAGAGTAGGTTAACTATAGAAGAATCAAATTTGTAGGTCTACACTACAACTATGAGAGAGAATAAATAAAAATAGGCATTAAAAAACCGCATCTATCTTGTAGAACGAATACTGTTTTCAATCCAAGAAGATAAACTATATAAGCAAATTTCGTATTAATGGAAAACTCTTCATAGCATAAAAAATTAATTTAAATAATTTAAGCAATCTCGAGAAGATAGCTAGAGCACCATAAAAATTAATTTGGAGCTCATCAAAGCCAAAAAGTGTGTCAAAGTTAAGAGGAAGTTAACAACGATATGTATGATTGCGCATCAACTATTATTAGAAGTTGTGAAAAAAATTTCCCACTACAATATAACATACTAAGGATCAACAATAAATCCATAACTTTTTATTATAGTTATAGAGATGTTTAAAATAATATTAAAATTTTGGTGCCTCAGGCTATAATTTATGTAGATGTGAAATTCTAATCAATGAAAATTCATTGGGCAGACAAAAAGTTAAAGCAATAGATAAAATAAAGGATTAAAATTATTAGGAAAAAGATATAGCAGATCATTTGCAAATTTAGTAGTAAGATATAGCAGATCAAAAGCAAAGTGTGATATGTATAAAAACTATAGATTTTTTGATATCGGAGTTAAACCAGATCGCAACGAACTGGAAATTTTATTTCAGAAATACGATGGAAGTACAAAGAAAAAAAGTTCCTGAAACATAAATAAATGACAACAAACACCCTAAGGGGAGGAGGAAGGTGGTGGGTGATGGTTGGACAACAAGTAGGTTAATGGGTTGGAGGGGTTAGTGTTGTGGTAGGAATAGGAAGGCAAGAAAGGGTTTGCGACAATAGCAGACAGGTGGGGGGAGATTTGCGGCAACAACAAACGGGTGGGGGGAGTTCACGGCAACAACAAGCTAAAAAGAGGAGGGTTGCGACAACAGTAGGCTGAAGGATTTTGGTAGCTATCTGGTAGGTGGAAGGGATTGACGGCAACAACATGCCAGAGAAATGTGAAAGAAGTATGGAGGTAATTATCAACTCGGAGCAGGATACAGCCGGAGCACCACATGTTCTTGCATACCACCCTAACTAGGGAAAAAGACTCCAAAGACAGAAATCTCAAAAAGTAAAAACTAAACCCTAACATATATATATATATATATACATACACACATATATGTACAAACATACATACATGTATATGTACACATCCATTGGCGGGAACATGAAGGCAAAAAAGGGTTTGCGACAATTTTTGTGGCAACATCAGATAGGTGGGGGAGTTTTGCGGCAACAACAGACAGGCAGAGGGAGTTCGCAACAACAACAAGCTGACAAGAGGAGGGTTGCGGCAACAGTAGGATGAAAGATTCTGGTAGCTGGCTGGTAGGTGGAAGGGATTGACGGTAGCAACATGACAGGGAAAGGTAAAAGAAGTATGGAGGTAATTATCAACTCGGAGCAGGATACAGTCGGAGCACCACATGCTCTTGGATACAACCCTAAAAAGGGCGAAAGACCGACGACAAAAATCTCAAAAAGTAAAAACTAAACCCTCACACACACACACACACACACACACACACACACATATATATATATACATACCCACACATATATGTAGAAACATACATACAAGTATATGTACACATCCATTGGCGGAAACATAAAGGCAAGAAAGGGTTTGCGGCAATATTTGCGGCAACATCAGACAAGTGGGGGAGTTTTGCAGCAACAACAGACAGACAGAGGGAGTTTGCAGCAACAACAAGCTGACAAGAGAAGGGTTGCGACAACAGTAGGCTAAAGGATTCTGGTAGCTGGCTGGTAGGTGGAAGGGATTGACAGCAACAACATGCCAGGGAAAGGTAAAAGAAGTATGGAGGTAATTACCAACTTGGAGCAGGATACAACCGGTGCACCACATGTTCTTGGATACAGCCCTAACAAGGGAGAAAAAATCATATGACAAAAATCTCAAAAAGTAAAAACTAAACCCTAACACAATGTGTGGGAGGGCCCAAGCATGACACCCTTCCCACACAAAAATCACAAATGGTTCTAAAACTAGAAAAAAAAAGAAAAATACATTAGATACATAAATAAAAAGAGTAAATAGTGCCGATATACATATTATCAGGTGGCTAGAGAGCGACCCAATTTGATCTTGCCTCTGCCTCTAGTTCTAGGGAAGGAGCAAGCTAATAAGTTGGTAAGATGATTGTCATTGCCAGTAGTAAATAATGTATCATCCAATATGTTCCCAAGCTGGAGTCGACCTCCATTTGGATCAAAATTAGGGGTCCATTTGAGCAATTTCATATGATTGCCCTCGATTGTGATGAATTTTTTTTAGAAAATCATTTTGTAATCTTCTTCTATGCTCAGTTGTATCATAACATGTCTTTCGTCGAAAAGATTCACCTGTCAATCCCCAACTAGTTTGAAATTTTCAAAAACCTTCATAACAATCTCCATCTTAAGGCGACCTAATTGAAACTTTCCAACTAGTGTAAATTTATACTTTCCTGCATGATTTGAAATTTCAGCGTCATAGAAAAATATTGATGGTTTGCCCGCCTATATGGCTTCGTTGTCCACGCTCTCGCACTGCTAGGGTTCGCCTATGACGAACCCTGATTTTTCTGCTTAAATACATTTTTGTCAATCAATCACTGTTTTGTCTTTCATCCTTTTCTTCTTTGTCGCCAGTTTTCGCTGTCGTGTCGCAACTGCTCTTTCTGTTTGTTGTCTCGAGAAGTCGTTGCGCTCGGGGGTGTCGTCTTAGTTGTCTCTCGCAGTTCTTCGACTTTTGATGGACGCCTGGGCGCGAGCTTCTCCAGCGGCTCATCGTTGTCCTGAGAAGTCGTCGGGCTCGGGGGCGTATCTTAGCTGCCACTCCCCGTCTTAGTACGTTTGGGCGCGGGCTCGAAGCAGAGATTTCACATCGCCCTCTGCTCGACTTGGACGGGGTTGCTCTTCCTCTGCTGTAGCTTTGCTGTCCTATCGTCGCGCATCCCTCTTTTGGTGATGGCTTCAGACAGATTGTATGCTGCTGCCCTTGCGGGTGTCCACTCCTCAAGTATTCTTAAATTGTGCTATTTCCCTCCTTCGTTTGAGTTGGCGGAAGACATCAAGAAACCTGATAGAAAGAATGAGAAACCTGCTATCTTTTTTAAAGAAGCTGAATGTATTCAATTTGCTTCCTCCTGTCGCCTGAATTTGGTCGGAAAATTTTTTATGACCACCCCAAAATGGAGCTTATTGGTAAGGAATATGAGCTTATGCATCTTGTTGGGGAGTGAAGAATTGAACTTTTAGATAGAAGACGCATTCTTATTCAACTTAATAATAAATATGATTACACGCGATTATTTGCTAGAAGAATAATCTTGATTGATAACAGAGCAACAAAGATTTTGAAATGGTCGGTGGGTTTTGACCCACAGATGGAACCACCAATTATTCCGGTTTGGATTCGGCTCACTGGCCTGAAATTTCATTATTTTACTCAAAAAGTGTTATACTCTATTATCTCAGCTTATGATAAACAACTCAAAACGAACATTTTCCTGCTTTTAATTTTTCTCGTTTATCTGAAGCTAGAGTACTTGTGAAAGAGACATCACTTCTATCGCTTCTGAAGATATTTGGTTAGGCACATAACACCATGAATATTAACAAAATATTGTGATTGAGTCTTTTCCTTCATATTGTTCGAACTGTCGTGTGTTTGACCACTCCAGTTCTCAATGTCAACATCTACACCCCCACCTTAGACCAAAAAAACAAAGTACTTTGTCAGAGGCAATGATTCCCCCTACTCCGGATCTGCTCTAAGTTATTGACAATATTGATCATCAAAAGAATACCCCTGAAGATGTCACTATCCTCGCATAAAATATGTCAACCATTCAGCCTCCACAAAATATTGTAGCTTCTCCGTCTTTGGAACCTCTTTTCGTGGGGGCGAGGGAGAAATTTTAGATTTCACCTATCTTAGAACCTATCACTGATTTTACAGTGACAATATTTCTACTGTCTCTCTACCTCCTCATCAGGTCGAGCAAGATGTTAATGTTACTCAGGCACATGGGGTATGGGGTCATGGGGTTCATGATGTGCAACAGCCTACACCTGTCTGACCACCTTTAGACCAATTCACTGATCAGATGAGTCAATCCTCGGATGAGGAATGATATGTTTACACATGTAGAAGGACGAAGAAGAATGAAGACCTACTTGAGCTCAGGAATCTAATGAATGATACTTTGGTTACTTTGGGTAATGATGCACACCTCACCAATTTGTTAGCCGACTCCCTTCCGAGAACTAGAGACAAAGACAGATCTAAATTGAGACATCCCTAGCTTTTTGTTAGCTCAGGAATCTGATGGATGATACTTTGGTTATTTCGGGTAATGGTACACACATCACCAATTTGTTAGCCGGCTTCCTTCCGAGAACTAAAGACAGACACAGACCTAAATTAGGACATCCTTAGCTCTTTGGGCGCGTTCATGGTTTTGGTTTTTTAATCTTATATGTATCTTTTCTTTTTTTGGAATTTTCTGTGTTGTATCATGTGGGTTGGGCTTTTAGGCTCACTCATACAAACTAACAGTAATTTTTACTCTTTAATATATTAACCCTCGGGCTTTTT